GCCACTGATAGGGCCTACTTTTTTTCTCTTCATCTGTAGAGTCTGTCTGCCTGCGCTTTTCCCTCAGCACTCAATGATGGTGGCTATGTTTTCCTTGTGTCTTTCTTTAATCAACGTAAACTATAAAAAAAAAAAAAAAAAAAATTGCGACCCGTCTTTCTGGTGCTTTTCGAGGATGTGTTAACCGACTGACAAAGCCGCTAAATCACTGTGTTTGTTGTACATTATTTTGGGTTTCTCTTTTTTTTTTTTTTACTTTGGCTTTCCTGAACGGAAGTATTTTCATTGGTTGATTCATGCATCTGGTGATTTTAACAGGCTCCTCTCTTTGTACAGTAACGTGTTTTCACAGTAGACGCCCATTGTTTTTAGCTTCATTTAGAATTTCAGACCTTGTTATTTTTGTTTTAATTTTTAAACTGAGAGTGAGAGAAAAGAACTATTTTTGACTAGTGTTTTGCTTTTGCAGGTAACCGCGCATTTTATATTGCAGTTTGAGAGCATAATATGAAGACGGCAATGAAAAAAAAATGATCAAAATATTGAAATTGAAATTATTGTATTAAAGCTTTTAATTTGCTTTCAACATTTTTCTCTTAAAATCAATGAAACCGAACAAAGTTCTCACTCCACTGATAAAGATCCTTTTAATAAGCTGGATCAGTATTCCTTTTTATAGCCAACGCCCACTTTTGACACCTTTATGAGGCAAAATTCTGGTACCGCCCACTTTCATGTGTTTTCAAGAGGGGCGTAAAATAATACCCGTCACTACCTGGACGATCCCCACTGCCCACTGAGATTACGAAATCGCCCTGTACCGGGCCCTGTATCGCCCAGGTTGGCAGCACTGAGCTGGGTGGTGCCATTAAAAAAAAGAGTACTAGATCTATGTATTTTTCGTTTTGAAATTTGATTTTTTATTCTGAACATGAAAATTTAACTTTGATCTTTTTGTTCATTGTGGTCTTCATATAATTATGGTTATCTAATTTGTTATTTTATATCTGTTGAAATTGAAAGTCTTCCTTCTATTTCTGTACCGGCTTCTTTAGTGTTGGAGGTGAGCACTTTACCATTGCATGTTGAAGCTGTGGATTCTATGCCCGAGTTATGACGGTTCTTATTTGGGCTTTTTTAAAACGAGGTCCTTCTGTTTGCTGAAATGTTTTATCCCTCTCCAGCCCGAGTTGGTCCTGACAGATAAGGTTGAAGCAACCCGCCTCCTAAATGCCATCAATAATTGTGACTGTTGGGGTGCAAAACGCTTACAACTTCCATAATAATTGTTGTTTCTTTTTCTCTGTCAGACTTTGGTCAGCCGGCAAGAGAGGGCCGGCAGTACGGGCGCTACCCCGTGTACAACATGAGGGCGGACTCCCCCTCCATGGGACCCTTCATGTCCTGGTCAGTAACTGCTAACGAACCCTGCCTGGACAACCTGTGCTGAAGTTTGGTCCTCGTTAATCAATGGCAATGTTCTGCTTATTAATCATGATTTCAATAAGCATGAATATGATATAATAATTGTTCAATGTTAATTCAAGGCTATCCTGGTTCTGATTTTGTTGTAGGTTACCTAAACAATATTTTGTAAAGTGAAATTTTTAAATTTTTTTTGCTTTGATTTTCTTGATGAGCTCAAGGAAATCAGTCATTGTCAGGGGCTTTTGGTGTTTTTATACCTGTGTGTTTGTTTGTTTATATTTTTGTTTATTTTGTTGTTTGTTTTATTTGTTGGGGTTGTGGGGGGGGGGGGGAAGAAATCATTGAGATTTAATTCCCTTATGAATAGGCGTGCCAAAATTATGTTGAGGATCACATAAAGATTTTTGTATTTGCATTTACATTATTAAACTGAAGCACTTCGGGCCGAGGATATGTGCATGCTTTAGTATGTAATAATCGTTTTTGAAATATGCGATTGTGAAAACTTGTATAAGCTGCAGTTTGAGAATTCCTTTTTAAAAATGTATTTATTATTTTATTTTTAAATTATTAAACAAAGCATTAAGCATCACACCGATAACAGGTAAAGTAGACAATTGCACACTTATATAAATACAAGTAAATGTACTATTGAATATTCATGTATATTACTATAGATCTACTATAAACAATGCTTTATCTGCAGTAATTTTTCTGACTGTTTTGTCACCCAGGCGTATGTCCGATGGGGGACAGTCCAACGTTTACAATCTGGTGAGGAAGAAAAAGAAAAAGCTGATGCAGGTGAGCTTGACTTTTTTTAAAAAACAAGGAGGGGGGTGGGAGGGGGAGGGATGGGAAAGACAAAAGGGTAAGGAAAGGGGGGAGGGGGTGGTGGAATTGAGTGCTAAGAAGAGTTGAGGACTCTGAGGTGGGGAGAAAAAAAAAGTAAGGGAGAATTTTTGGGGGCTTCTACTGTTAGTTGCTTATATTGTAGGAAACATGGAAGGAATTCATTCATTGTTTATCTACATGGTTTGTTTTTTTCAACTATTTTCTAATCTATAAAGAGTGCATTGTGATGATAACCTGACTGATGTGGTTCTTGGGTTAAAAGTCATTGGTGGGTTTAGTTTGAAGAATGTAGATGTTGTGTTTGCTCAGTTGCTATCATGCTGGACTACAATGGGGATTTGTCTAATTCATATCCCCAACACTGGGCGTGCTTGAACTCAGGTCAGTTTGTGGAGTTTTCAAAGCTCTCAACCCATTTGGATCCATCCTATCAGGGATGGATTATTAAATTCATCTTTCTAATGTTGCGCAATATAATACTGTTGAATATTGCATTCAAACTACACAGATGTACCGAAACAACAGCTATTTGTGTGTTTGGATTTTCTTCATACGTTGAGGAGATGAACTTTTGTCTCTCATATTTAATTACTTTATGTAGAATTTTTTAATAGAGTATTCAAACACAGTTGCACTGAAGTAAAGTGACATTTTTCTTTGTGTCTTTGTAGGTTCCAGAGCCTTTTGAAGACGGGCGTCTGTCACCCTCTGTCAATCTGCGCAACGGGTCGCGACTGTCCCGCTATGAGGTCATGGACTATGATGGCGGGAGGGACAATGAGGACGCCGAGTCCTCTCACATGACCCCGCGGGACGGCGCTCTATCCCAGCGCACACTGACCACCACACCTGTGCCATATGGCCCGTCGCGGGCAGGGGATGGGCGGCGGGCTTACAAGCAGCCCGTCAGTCTGAGACACCAGGCGGCTCCCAATACTCCAAAGGATCGGGTCAGTTTGCGAAAAAAAGATTTTGTTACGTCATACAAAAAATAGTGTATTTCAGTTTTAAGCCCTTATTCACTCAATTTGTCATCTCAGTTTCCTATTTTTTCAGGAGTTGATTGTGCAATGATTATGTGTGCATTGGAGTTTCAGTTTTAAAGCCTTATTGACTCAATAACTAAACTCTGTTGTGTCAGTTTTCCTTTTATATGTGAAGTAGTAAGAATGATAATGCTTGTATTCCAGACCCCTATTGGTTCAGTTTTATCTGGTCTGAATATAATATCTTGCGAAATGGTAGGAATGATAAATTGTATATTTAAATGTTAGTTTAACATCTCTTTTGACCCAAATGTAGGCAGTCATAATTTCTGTTTTTCGTAAGGTGATAAAAGGGATAATATACAGGCTCGAGGTTTAGTTTTACACCTCCATTGACTCAATTTTGTGCAGGCAATATCCAATTTTTTCTTGAGGTAACGTGAATGATGATATGTAAAATCAAGTTTCAGTTTTATGTCTGTATATTGACTCAATTTGATCAAATCACTGTTTTGTGAGGTGTTTGAAATAATAATGTTTATACTCAAGTTTCAGTTTTATACCACTTTTGGCTCGATTTGACCAGGTCAGTTTCCAATGTTTTTTTGGAGGTGGTAGGATTCATAATGGGTATAACTAAGTTTCAATTTAAACGTCCCTGTTGACTCAATATTGGGCCAATAAATAACAGAATGTCTTTATGCAGTGTGAGTTTAATATGTACGTAGGAAAGGGGCAGTCTCCTCCCCCCTCCACGCTAACCCATAACCCCTAAAGTGTTGTGTGTGAAAAGTTGAAAGTTGATTACCCTCTGACCTTTTTTTCCTGCAGCAGGTCGGTCGTCTTCAGCCGCTGGGCAAGAACCAAGCCAGTACCCTCTCCAGTCATCAGCAGCAACAGCATTCCACCAGTCACAGCAGCATCAACATGGGTCACCCAGAGCCATCCTCCTCCAACAACAAGACCTACGGCGGCATGAAATCTTCCATGGCAGGGAGCATCATGCAGGAGGAGGTCAGAGGTCATGGGGCTCGCCAGCGGCAGGGGTCGCTGTTTTTAGAGGACGATTTGACCCCTCGCATTTACGCTGGCACGCTGGACAGTCGGCTGGGCCGGGGTGGGGGGCCTCGATCGGGGAAGTCCAGTCACCACTAAGAGCTCCGGAATTGAGTCATAAATATTACTATGTCCCTGTAGAACGGTTTATCAAAAGTCAACAGAGATACGTAGATGAAATTTGACTCTGCAATGCTCTTTGTTGCTGTCAGACTCTAACCACATATCTTCCAAATTAGGTCAGAAACTTTGTTTCTCTGAAATCATGTTATTCCGTCACAAATACAATCAATGATACTATAATAAGTTAAAAAAGACCACTCCGCACAGAAGTTTGAGTAATTCTAGAAAATAATTTGAAAGAAAGTACATTTTTGTTGCATTGTTTTGAAATTGGGCGCTCGTCAAAATAATGAAATCGAAGAAATCTGCTTTTTTTTCTGTTCAGCAATTTCTATCATTTAAAAAAAAAATCACAATTTTGTGTGGATTTTATTGAAAACACCGATCAAAAGCACAGAACTGTATGCAATTTACCTGGACACCTGGACATTATAGCTTTGGAAGTCACCAAACTTTAGTGACCATTTTCTTGCTAATTCTACCTCTGACACAAGTCAACCCCATCTCCTACAATCGCAAATACCTCTAATTCTGGATCAAAATAGATGGGTATTTTTAAAATCAAAAGCAAGGCAAATCAACAAGCTCTACACTGAAACCAATAACTGCATTAGCCCAAAGATTGATGAGTGCTTGATACCACTATGTAGTGACACATTAATTTTATGTAAAAAGTGTTTGACCTAATTTGGCGGATACATGATTGACACCGTCGATTTTTGGACTATTTGAAGGGCTGTGTGACAAGGGGCGTGTCTGAAACTTTTCAAAATACATCATGCATTTCCTCTGAGAAAGTGCACAATGTGCTTTACATAATACAAAGAACATGAGCACCATACAGTTCCTCTCTCTTTTTCTTTCCTCGATCTCTCCAGTACATGCTTGAATACAGACATTTACACAAAAAAACTTGCACACACACACACACAAAGTCACACACACACACACACACACACACACACACACACACACACACACACACACACACACACTACTCACATACACATCTATTGTGACACACAGCCACACAGCCACTTTTTTCAGAAGAGCATGAACAAAAAAATCTGTACTGAAAGAATCACATAATATTATATATGTATTGAGGATGTTGGTCATTACTGGCCAGAAACAATAAAAATTTGCTTTTTGCACCTTTTAAAATTTTTATAAAATGGATGCCTCCCATAAATATGCTGCTAATGTGTTCCACGGAAAGGGGGCGTGGTGTTGTGAAATTGAACCAAATTTCTATGTATTATTTTCAGTTTTATCTCAGTTTTTAGAATCAACGGTAAACTAAAGATAAAGTGATATGGTTACCATGTCTGTCTTGGTTTTTAACATTTTTAAAATTGTGTTGTGCCATTGTTGGTTGATTCCTGGGTCTACTCTCTAAGCTTTCTAATCTTTCTGAATCTTTCAGTCTGGAATCTTCGAAATTTCAAGCTTTCAGGAGACTGAAAACGAATACAGTTTTCTTGCATTTTTGTATTTTGTTTTATAAAGAACAGAGCACTTTTTTCTGATTTTCTTATCCTACTTTGATTCAAATAGTCTTCTATGTAATATAAAAAATATACATGGACAAAATTGTCAAATAGTTTTGTATTGATTAAGAAATTCATATCTATAAAATGGTATGGTTTTGCTGTTTTTGCCTACTTTTTCTGAAAAATGTGTTCTGTTATCTGCATGTTGCAGCAAGCATAAGCTGCTTATGTCCCCTCATCTTTCTTCTCTTCCTCTTTGTCCTTCTCTGTATTTGCGTGGCAGTTTCCGACATGATATGCGATTAGAATCAATTAGGATTCATATGAGAGAAATAAGGGTTATGTCAGAAAATCAAACTTATGCATCTCTTGTATTGTTTCCAGTTAAAAGCATTGATAAAATTATTGCATAAACATATTTATTTTCTTGTTTTCTTGACCCAACCTTAAAGCTAACAAATGGTCGTCTTTGACTTTTAGTGCTATTTTCTGCGTTGTATGTTTACCATACCCTACATCATTCAAATGGTCATAACTTTTGAACCTTTGAATGTATTGGCTTGATATAAAATACATATTACCCAGAAAGTTGTCCTAAATCAGAATATTTGCATATCTCTGTATGTAGATTTTGACCCATGGGAAAACCAGACATTTGGTAAACGGTCAGACCAACATTATAAAGGTGAGAGGTCAGTTATTGGGAATGATTTGAACATAGCAGCGTTGTATTCGAAAAAAGACGCCCAGTAATATGGCCGGGTAGCTGAGAATATTTGTGAGTGTTTGAGGGTGTGCCGGGATAATAACAGTAGTAAAGCACATAGACCATGCTGTAGAGAATGGATATGCACTATGTGAAAGTGATTATTATTAGTAGTAGAAGTAGTATTTAATGACGGGAGACTGTGTGTCTTGAAATTCATAGTAAGTTTCATCCAGTAAAGTTATCCATAATGACAGAGATAGGGCATGTGTGTTACTCTGTTCTTAAGAATTAAATCTTTAATGCTCCTTCTGCTGTTGTCAACCGGCGTCTGTGGTGTAATAGTTAGGTTCTTTGCCATCACGCACAAAAGACCCAATTTCAGTTCTTGGGTTGGAAGAATTTTTATGGAATATCTCAGTCTTCTGGTTGAATGTTGTATCCTCCTCAGCCTAGGTTGGTCCCGACAGGCAGGGTCAAAGCTTGCCTCATAAAGGGTCTGAATTCATTTAATGGCGTAATACATTTACATTGAAGAAGTTTTTGCCATTGTAATGGTTTTGTTTACCAATGTGGAGATTTTGTGATTTAGTGTCTTGTCATTGGTTTGTAAGGTGTAAGGGTGATAAGCTACCATCTCTTCTCTTCAGGAAGGCGATGGTTTCACTTTTTATGACTAAGGGGGGAAAAAGTTTGCAGCGCTTCTCTAATGAAACAATTATGGCTTTTTAAAACAACAAAGATAGAGCGCAAGCATCTGTGATGGTATCTTTGGACTCATTGTACACAGAAGATGTGACTTTAATTCTTGTGTTTGGGAAGTGCTATCTATCTGTTACCTCCCTCGTTCTGACTGGATCATGCATCCCACTCAGCCCAGGTTGGCCTTGACTGGCAGGATTGAAGCAGCCCACCACCTAACTGATCTAAATTGTGTCAGTAGGGGTGTAAAACCAGAACCTTACTTTTTTTAGAAAGAGTTTGATGGGGCGAGCACTCAGCTTCACTTATGTAAGGATATATTACTAAAATGCTCAAAAGTGTGTAAATTGTATAAAGTTCTGCATTTGTCTTGCCAAAGTTGTAGGTCTCTGAAATCTAGGGCGACACCTGATCCCAGTGGCGAAGAGATTGTGTCTTTGCTTATATTGATATTCATAGGTCTTTGGTCTGCTGGAAAATTTTGAATATAGGTCATCACAAAATAAATGTACTAGACTTCTTCAATTCTTTTAAAAAAATTTACCCATGATCTCTACTGGAGGTTAAATCTGTTTCATTTTATAACTGTACACATCAAAACTGATTTTAAAAAGTGAAGAAAATTAATTTAAATTGTTTTTTTTTTCCATTTTGCTGTCATGTTACAAAAATCTCCAAAAAATATTGAAAAGACATCCCTTCAACAACCTATAGATTAATTTCAGTATCATCAATTTGAACAGAATGACATAATACTTTTTTGTTCACCTTTGGTTCTCGTAATAACCTGGCTTCCCATAGTCTTTTGAGGAAGTACCGTAATACTCTCTTTGACTTTGAGTAGAAGTATCAAGATTTTAATACAGCTCTGAGAATTTTTTTCATTTCTTTTCATAATACAGTTAAAAACTCGTTAGTTACCTGAGATCAGAAGTTTTTTTGGAGACTTCCTCAGAGCTGAATCAGAGGTCTCATAGAAACATAGACCAAATAGACCAAATAGTTTGTGAACATGTTATTGAAAATGATCCACTCTACGTATTAGTTCTACTGATTTCAGGGAAGAATAAATTGAAATGCATATTATGTCAGTCCAAGTAGTCTCTGTCTGGAATTATCTTACTCTTAGTATTATTAGGAGTTACTCTACCTTTGCACGAAGCCAATTTTGTCATCCAATTTTTCTGAACCATAAACTTCCTTATATGACTCAGCTCCAGTTTTACCTTTTTGCATAAATAAACACAAGACTAAGTAGGAATGAATTAGTTGTGGAGTAAACACCTAGTTTGATTATAGATAAGATGGATTTACTGAGGTTTCATAGAATTTTGTTACGTCTGTAAACAATAGAGCAATGCTGAGTGCCAACTGAACTGGTTATCTGTGTACCAAGAGTTCATAAATCGTTACCTGTACACGTCGTTATCGTAGAATTACAAAGTTTTATCTAACATTTTTGGCCGTTTTTGAGTTATACGGGGTGCCAGTAGGGGATTGGGCCTGGTCGGGGTGGTTTGCTAGCCAAATTGAAGTTGCAAAGCAGCTATTGTGGCACAAACCCAATCACGCCCGACTTGTCGCCTTAAAAACAAACGCGTTTATTTTCAAGTAACAAGTGGGGCGAGTGCCCCCGATCCCATCTGCAATGGGAAAGCCGTATTACTAAGACCAGGGGTCAGAAACCAAATGTTTTATCTGCACTACCCAAATCGTAAGAATAGTCGGAGTTATTATGAAGATGTTCAAAGAATTGCATTTGAAAAAGTGGAACTCCAAAGTTTTAACGTTAAATTAAAAAAAAAACTAGGTACTGAGCAGATAGAACCTTGTATTTCTAGTGTAGCGACATGATATTCTCACTGACTGGTTGTTAACAGAAGAACTTCTCTTATTTATCTTGATTTTCTGTCACTTTCACTCAAACACAGTCAACACTGTCTCAGATAGCCCCGCATTGTCGAAGATAAAAGTGGCTGTCTTAGACTGGTGGTCGTTTTACACAGTGTCATTATTACTATAATGTATAAAATATATGCAAGGGAGGAAGTGGGACGTGGCTGTTTTTACAGAAAATTGTCTGATACAGGTGGCCGTTAAAGCAGGTTACACTGTATTTTAAGACTTCTAGATACGTATACTGATATTTTAGCATTTTGAAGTAACAGCTCTATTGAAATGAATAGAGGTAGGGGCTTTACAATTGTATGATTTACAAAATGTATACATGTATTTGTCTCCGATATTCTATTGTAATTAGAGCCATTTGAACTGCAGACTTCGTCTTTTCAGGAGCACAAAACTTAAACATCTGCTGAATAGCTGTTGTATATATATGTGTGTATATACTTACATATTCATTTCCAGCTTTAGCCAAGTTTGAGATGACGAAAATTTACCTGTAAATGCCTTTTATGTGAATGTTGTGAGATTTTGCATGTTGCCTTTAAGTGTGAATCACTTTACTTATACAACACTATTATAAGCAATAACATTCTGCTGCTCTCGACTCAATCATTTGAAAAGACATTTAATCTCATTTATGTTTAGGGACTTGTGCGTTATGTCCTAGGAATGTGATTTTATTGTATGCTCTAGTCATTCACTTTCAAATGAGTGAAATGGAATTATGAGTGCACTCGAATATTTTCAAACATCAGTCCGCAGTCTTGAAGTTGCCTGATTGATGCAGCTTTCCTTCAGAGGGATGTCCAGTATTTAAGGTTTTTAAAAAATAATCAGTCTAGTCTGTGTGTAACTTGCCAGCTTGTCCTCAGGGATACATGTACTATGTGGCACTTCTTAGTGAGAAAGGGTAGTTATATGTTTTAGTATTTACCCCAGTCCTTACTTTTTGTGACCCAAAGCGACATGCACCATTCCACTCTGTTGCAACCCTATGCAACATTGCTGCTTCTGTACCAATGCCACACGATCACTAAGCCCGATTGTGACAGTCCTTAACTTCTTGTGGTGACCTCCTGAGCTGCTATTAGTAATGATTGAGTAAAGCATAAAAGCAATAGTATGATGATTAATATGGTAGGATGAATTGATTATTTCCGAAGGGAATTCTTGGCAACTGGAATTTATGTGATGATCCTGATGAAGTGTGCTATAGTGGCAGAGATTGTGTTATGTTTTTGATTCATATAGTCAGAGATTATCGGGTTTTTTCTAGCGTAATGTTGTGCCCTTTGTTGTTGCATGCAGAGGACTTGAGTTTGATTCCCAAGTGGAGCTATGTTTTATTGAGTATCTTTGTGTGTCCACTGGTAATGAGATACTCTATCTCGCTCACAGCTGGTTGGCCTTGGCAAGCAATGTCAATGCAGCCCACCTCCTAAATGATCTAAATTGTGTCAATTGGAGTGTAAAACATTTATTAATGAAAGAAAGAGATTACAAAAGTAGAAGGCTGTCTCAAATCCTGCAGTGTCTCTGAACATTGATCCTGTCTCCCAGCTCTGTGTACAAGCAATGAAGTCGAAATAAGGTTGTTGTTGTTTTTAAAAAAAATTGAATAAATAATTTATTATAGTGCATTAGTAAGTAGAAGAAAGTTATCTCCACTGTGATATCAAGAAAGTCTCACATCAGGTTTTTAAGAAGTTTGTCTCTAATTTGACCGTGTCTGTAAGTAATTACTTTTTATGCTTTTGCCAGTATTATTTTATTTGAAAAAAATCTCACTTCAATTCGTCTTACCGTTACTTACTTAATATAGCACTAAAGTAAGTCTACATTTTCAAGTGTCTCAGTCAGTCTTTTGTTTCTGACTTGTTTGGGTCGTGGGGTGGGGGTGGGGGGCAAGTCCGGTCTACAAGCTGTCGTTTTCACAATACTGGAGCTCCTTTCATGAATGGGAAGACGGGATGAGGTCACGTGAAGTTGTTTCTAAATCTGTGAGACTAATGTGTCCAGTCTCCACGTCTTAACCTCTTCACTGCTATGCAGACGTGTACACTCTCTTGGGTTCTTCCAAGTGGGTTCACTGACATTTTTTTTTTTGCTGGTTCATTGAGGATATTCTAGAAAATGTATTTGTAACGTATGCATTTTATTGTTCTAAATAAGGTGGAATATATTGTGGCTTTGTTTATATCTCTCATGAACGAACATTCGTTTAAGTTTCAGCACCGCAAAGGTTAACTATATACCTGCACAATTATATTAAATTTGAGTAAAGAGAAGTGCACTGACACAGTTGAGGTTATTTTAGTACAGGGAAAAAGTGAAATAGGCAGACAGACAGGCAGAAACAAGAGAGGGAAAGACAAGATGAAGAAGTCGGACCTCTTAATGGTGCCCTCCAACTGCACGATCCTGGTACATTTTCTTGTGCTTTTAAAATGGTCAGGCTATTGTAGTCTTTTCCTTTGGTCCATCCTCTATAGCTGGAAAAATGATGCGGATGATTGGAGGTTGCCATTGCTAGGTCCCGCTTTTTTCCCATTATTGTCTCTTCTGATTGTCTGTCTTGGTTTTCCCGTGAATTAAATGGCAGTCACTGTCTGCTGATGTGCCCCTCTTTACTCAGAACTTGAAACAGGAAAGTGTTCACTTTGAAAGCTTCCCATGTCTGACTATAAACTATGCAGTCTGACGTATTGATAATCATGGGCCGCTAGCTCTTCCCTTCTCATATAATGTCAGTGTCATGTTCTATCCTGTGGGTTTTGGAAACTGTAGACGATGTGAATTTGACAAAATTACAAAGTGGGTGATTGGTGGGTGCTCTTGTATGGATTTCTCCCTCTTTTTTCAAATATCTATCATCCTTATCTCCCCATATTTTCTATGCTTGTTGCTCTCAAGTAATACCTCTAATCTTTGACACTTGTATGACCTAGTCTCGCAAGTGCCACAAAACTCTTACTAAAACTAAAAATTACAACAGGTGCATTTGTGTTAAATGAAATGGTTAGACATGGATATGACATGTGTACATGTAATTAAGTACCAGTAAGATGTAGGAAGCTACTATTTCCAATCTAGTACTAAAGGGTGTTTTCTTCCGACTGTGGCCATGTTAGTCCTGTTCGTTCGAATCGGATCTCTTCCTACTCCCCTTGTGATTTTTGTCTTTGATCTTGTTTTATTTAACCCTTCGGCTTAGCTTTTTCACCCCGCATGTGTCTATGATTGATGCCTTACTTTAAGTTAAGCTCAGCTTGAACAAACCAGCTGGGAGCTCAGTTGTTAATGTTATTGTGTTGGGGTGTGGTGCGAATGTCCTTGGTCAGGTTTGAATCCAGCAGTGGGGCATTCTTGAGCTAGAGTTTTTTTGAGAGTTTTCAAGGCGCTCTCTGCCGCTGTGGCTTTAGTACCCCAGGAGATGGACTTGAAACTCAGAATTTCTACTCTCGTCCCCTGAAACAATCTAACCGTATTGAAAGTGTGTTAAACCATGACAATTCTCTATTTTTGGGACTGCCCGATTGAGGACTTTCTCAGTGTGAACCGTATTATGATGAGTCTGCCTTTCAGAGAACATGTTGTTTGTGACAGTGCTGTATTTTTATGAGTGCTTTCAGACAAAATTCAAAGATAGAGGCGTCAGTTTGAATTAAGTTAGAAGCATGACCTGCTGCTGTCTTCTACATACATAGGTACACAGCATGACGCACAACAGATACTCACTTAGTTACGCAAAGGCTAGTTTTCTTACTCACCCACCCATCAGTAATTATTTATTTTTAGAGAAGTTATGTCAAGGTATTGCCTCTTTAAGCTCAGATATGTCACCGCGTACAAATTATCCTGTACTGTTATCCTACCAGCCTAGTACATCTATTTTGGTATCTGTGGCATAATGGTTAGAAACCTCGCCGTTGACTGCTCACAGAGGATCGACTTGATTAAGTTCCCGAGTGGGAAGCTGTTTATTCGGTTACTGTCACCCTGTATCTCCATCTCTTTTCTACCGGGTACTCAGCCCAAATTGGCCCTCAGGACTAGGGCTGGGTCCTTCTCGTCAAATTTGAGAGTGGCGATTCGCGATTCAGTCGGCTTCAATGAATCGCGAGTACGCGAGCGCTCGTGGAGCTGTGGCGGAACACTGACTGAAACGGAACAGTGTCATATCAACGCCTCTTGGCGAGCGCGAGTCCCACTCTTGTTGTTCCGCCATCCTCTCCGCCCCACACCCTTTGTTGCGCTGCTCTATAAACTGATCTCAGTTAGTGACCCCCATAAATCCCCCCCCCCCAAACCCCACCATTCGCTAAAACAATGGCTCCACAAAATTCCATCTGTCTACTGACTGGTTGGACCCCGTTCATTTTGTTTTAATAGGGGGGTTGGACTATACTATCTTTTGTAAAATAAGGGGAGCCATACTAAGTGTTCCGTTACCGTTCCATTCTTGCGCTCGTGACTCGACTCAGAAGTAGGTTAAACTTGCCACGAGGTGGGGACAGCGACATGGGAGTGAATCGGGAATCGTTTGGCGTTACTGTTCCGCGTTCCGCTGAAGTGAATCGCGAATCGCGTTCCGCAGGAAGGAGTGGCGATTCAGTTCCGTTTTCGCGCTCGTGACCCAGCCCTACTCAGGACAGACTGCGATGCAGCAGCCCGCTTCCTATTTAATTGAAACTCTGTGCTGTGTGGATGGGGAGCATGAAATATTTACAACCGTTAACAATCCATCATTTTATTCACACTCACACCTCCCACCACCTTACTGTACAACATATGCAAACAAAAAAATATATATTTGTATATATATACATATAATATACAGATATATATAAATATATATATAAATATATATATATATATATATTATATATATATATATTTATATGTTTATACATTTATATATATTTATATATGTATACATGTATGTATTTCCCAGTCCCCCATGCACTCTGTGATAATCACTCTCACTGAATTCAAATACATTTGAGAACTGGATTCTTCTTTATTGTGACTTTACAATGTACTCCAGAAATATGTTTTGGTTGCCATAATATAATGTTATAAATATATAGTCACTCCAATTGATTTTAATTTATTCACAGCATATTAAAACATTTGTATATTGTTTGACACTACAGTTCATTGATCAGAATTGCATAATGCCTGTGTTTGCGTTTATTTCATAGAATTAAACATTGCTTCATACCATATAGAACACATGTAAAGTCCATTTATTCTTGTATTTGTGACAGAAAATAAACACCTTTGATGATTCTGACAGCAAGGGCTAATGATTTTGTTTATTTGCTGATTTGTTTGTTTGTTTGTTTGTTTGTGAGTGTGCTTGTTTGTTGTTTGTCACTTCATTAATGTCTCCAGTGTCAGTGCTTGACACTCTGACTGTTTCCACAATCCTTTCACAATCAAGCTGTTTCACTAATCTGTTTCCACAATCTTTTCACAGCCTGACTGTTTTCATAATCTGTTTTCACAATCCAGCGGTTTGCACAATCTGTTTTCATGATCTTTCCACAATCGTGGCTGTTTTCACAATATTGCCACAGTCGGCTGTTTCCTCATTTTAGCCGTTTGCATGGGAGGACAAGGGGAAGGTTGTTTTAAAGGTGTGTGTGTGAGTGGGGGGGGGGGGGGGTTATTGGTTAGGTGAATGTTTAATAGAGACAAAATGGATTGTTTGAGTGTGGGGGGGGGTGTGCGTGAAGGCACATCTACATTCAAATATTTACCTAGAGGGGCGAGAATAGGTTATTTATCTTTATTATTATGGCTCCTGTCATTTTCTCAAACAATTCTGTTTCATAAATCCCCTTTGATTGAACGTGGTTTCTGAATATCATTTTCTTTCTTGCATGAACATTTTGGCTTATTTTTTAATAACATGCTATCCACAATTTCTGTCACTAGCCTGGGATCTATCCAACCAAGCCTGGTCATTCAACTCCACTTTTCGCTCGACAGCAAGATAGTATCGTCAAATAACAGTAACAGTTTTGTTGCCACTACAAAAAAACAACTTCATGTTTTATATTCGAGCGGAATCATGTGCACGGCGAGTCAGATTCGACACGACTGGGTGGTTTCAACACGATTTTCCCCCGAAGAACGACTCTTGATGGCACTGTCTTTCTTTCTACCCTTGTTGCCTTTCGATTTCTTCCCTTTGTTGCCATTGTTAATGTTAACATTTAGGCCTCGTGAGGCGGCTCGCGATGACGTCGACGTTCGAGCGCCAAACTTGTCTGGACCACCAGGACGCAAAGACGCGCACCTCTGGAGGAGGGGTGTGCTGAAGACCCCTCCCAGCAGGGAGCTTCGTCCATTATTCCGCCATCTTACCGACGGTGCGCAGACAGGGGCTCCAGAAGTGTGTCTCCCTTCAAGCGGGGAAGGCAGCGATGACGCGGTGTCGGAGGGGCGCGGTGAGCGGATGCTGTCCGGGGACGGCTGGTGCCGGTTGTGATGAGCGTGGTCTACTTCACAGTCCTTGTTGTTGGACCTAAAGGGCAACAACAAGATTGATTGTAAATGTTTGGACTTAGAAAGGGAAAGGGATGTAGCCTACAGACACCATCTTTGCACTGAGACAAATATGTGAGAGAGCTATAGAACACAGCAGAGACCCGGACAGAGTGTTCGTGGATCAGGAAAACGCACCTGACCGAGTCGACAGGGCCAGGCTATGGCAGAATTAGGAAAAATGTGGAGTGAAAAACCTACTCTTAGTAACACCAAAGGACTGTAAAAATAGTCTGAGTTGTGTAAGAACTAGCTAGTGAAAAACTGACTGGTTCAAAGTCAAAGTGACATCAGGGGTCGGACAAGGCTGTGTTCTATCACCATTACTCTTCATAGTCTACATGGACAAGATGACACAGTAAACAACTCAGAGCAACTTAACCAACAGTTTTTCACTGACGACCTGGGCATCATAAACAAGACTATGACAGGCTCTAAAGACTTATACGGCTTAATCGAACAAAGCTTGTCATCAGTTTGGAATTAAAATAATCACAACTAGGTCAGACGTAATGAAGATCTTCAGAAACTAAACCCTATTGAATGCCCAAGTCAACAACACACACCTGAAAGAATTCAAAAAGCCAGGAAGCATGTTCCAGAGAAATTGAAACACAAGGCATCTGCAATCACATACCAACTAACAGAGTTCCTCTCCATCAAAACATCTCAATGGAGACAAAGAAACAACTAATTAGATCAATCTTCACACCAACTCTATACTGCCAGTGCCATACCAGGATCTTAAACAAAAGCGCAGCAAAGTAAAATAACAGCATGCAAAATGAAAATATATCTGAGAAAAACATTAAAACATCACGAGAAGAGACAGGGGTCACAACAGCCAGCCTCAAATGCGTACTATGCGATTCGATGGCTTCAACGTGACTTCAATGGAAAAGGAAGGCTAAAAAAAAGATGAATCGATGGAGCCCAAGAGACGTTCCAAAGGCAAAATATGACGATCCAAAAAGCAACATACCTGGTCCACCTCTGACAATTTCATCTTCCCTCGACACCTCTCGGTAAAAGAGGACATAGAATGGTAAAAGTAAATAAGTAAGATGACAAGCTATCCCTTCTGTTACAGAAACTCATTAAGTCTTTGCTTTTACCCACCCATTGATCATCTCCTGGCCGTTTTCCCGCTCGGTCTTCTCGTGATTCTGCTGCTGCCTCTCCGGTGTAATCTTTGGCTCGTACGGAGTGTATTTGACGGGAATTTTCTTCCTTTGCCGTTCGTTCTTACTTCCCGCGATTTTCCACACCCATTTAGCGTCTTTGTGTCTTGTGGCGGTGGTGGATCCAGCCGGACACCATGCCGCTCTGACCAGTGGGACACGATGGTAGCCGGCGTTGACTCCGGTCACTTTGTTGTGGTGAACTCCTCGGCCGTGACCTGGGGCGGTGCTGGACAAACGATGGGCGAGGACGGCAGGCCTTGTTCGTCTTCCTCCTCCGCTCTCCTTCTTACTGTTCTCCGATCCACCACCTCCACCCCCACGGTTTCTTTTCGACGCGACAGTCTCGCTTTGCTGCCGCCGCAGCTGATGCTGAAGACCACCTCCACAACCACTACCACCACAACCACCAGCAGCAGTATTTGCACATGTGAAACTGCGGCTCAATGGAGGAGACTTGTCGTTGCTGTGATAATGTTCGCAATTCCCAAATTTGTCACCCGTCAGTGAATACGAGGACTGGCTGCAGCTTCCTGTCGCTGTGGTGGGCGAGTTTTGTCGGGTTGGGAATTTATTGTTCCTGTCAAAATAGCCCCCTCTGCCTCTTCCTCCTCCTCCTGCTCGTCCACCACCCCCAACATCACTTCCGCAATCTCGCCAAAACGGAGGTTGTGACTTATCTCGCTGACTGGGAGAGGCGTTATGAGAAGAGGATGATGAATAGGGGGCGTTGTTGTGGTCCCAGTCGCCATGCCTCCAGGGGGCGTTGCTTTCCCAACTGCCGCCTCTACCACAGGCGTTGTTCCAGTTGCGGCTAGATGATGCGTTCATATCTGACGGCCACCAGTCTCTGTTACGTAGGCTTGGCGTGCTGGAGTTTGGTGCTAGGCCCCGCCCAATCGAACGATGAGAGCTGTACAAGAGCTGGCTGCTGGAAAGGAAAGGAATTGGTGTAAGTTGGCAGAAGCACATTGACGCAATAATGTTCGATCAGTGCAGGAAGAGAGCTGGACAGAGGAGAGTCTTTTTTCATGTTTGAGAAGTAAGAAGCACACCGACACAATAGCTTTTACGGTTATTCATTGATGGGAAAGAGCAAGACGGAGAAACAATAATAACAAAGGGGGAAAGAGAAAGAAAACCTACCACTGGCGCTCTCGAACAGTCAGCGAGCAAAAGGGAGATGGATTGAAAGACGGATAATTTTGTATTATTATCATTTTTGTCTTATTGGTGAGAACGAACATCAAAGTGGTGACATAATATTTTGCACTGTCCTGTAAGGCGTTTTTGTCTTATTGGTGAGAACGAACATCAAAGTGGTGACATAATATTTTGCACTGTCCTGTAAGGCGTTTTTGTCTTATTGGTGAGAACGAACATCAAAGTGGTGACATAATAT